GGAGGGGGGACGGTGTCAGCACAGGTTGCTTTGTGTGGACTCAGCGAGGCTCCTGTTGAAGGTCGGTCCCCCATAGCGAGCTGCCTGTTGAAGGTGGGTCCCCCATAGCGAGCTGCCTGTTGAAGGTGGGTCCCCCATAGCGAGCTGCCTGTTGAAGGTCGGTCCCCCATAGCGAGGTGCCTGTTGAAGGTCGGTCCCCCATAGTGAGCTGCCTGTTGAAGGTCGGTCCCCCATAGTGAGCTGCCTGTTGAAGGTCGGTCCCCCATAGTGAGCTGCCTGTTGAAGGTGGGTCCCCCATAGCGAGGTTCCTGTTGAAAGTCGTCCCCCATAGCGAGCTGCCTGTTGAAGGTCGGTCCCCCATAGTGAGCTGCCTGTTGAAGGTGGGTCCCCCATAGCGAGGTGCCTGTTGAAGGTGGGTCCCCCATAGCGAGGTGCCTGTTGAAGGTGGGTCCCCCATAGCGAGCTGCCTGTTGAAAGTGGTCCCCCATAGTGAGGTGCCTGTTGAAGGTCGGTCCCCCATAGCGAGCTGCCTGTTGAAGGTCGGTCCCCCATAGTGAGCTGCCTGTTGAAGGTCGGTCCCCCATAGTGAGCTGCCTGTTGAAGGTCGGTCCCCCATAGTGAGCTGCCTGTTGAAGGTGGGTCCCCCATAGCGAGGTTCCTGTTGAAAGTCGTCCCCCATAGCGAGGTGCCTGTTGAAGGTCGGTCCTCAAAGCGAGGTGCTACACAACCTGGTCCTGGTATCAAACAGAGAACAAAGACATAGGCTGCAGTTCAAATGTCACCGTATTCCCTATATAGTTCACTACTTTTAACCAGGGTTCTGGTTAAAGGTAGGGAAAGGGAAAGGTGATACCTAGTCAATTGCACAACTGAATGGATTCAACTGAAATGTATCTTAACCCAACCTGTCTGAATCAGAGGTAGTGCACTATATAGGGAATAGGGTACCATTTGGGACACAGACAAAGAAAGGACCTCACTCATATGAAGAAGTGACTGCTGGGAAATCTACTAAACAGACACCTGCACAATCCAAACTGACAGCAGTTTCTTTATGGGAAGAAAGCTCTGTCCACAAAGGAGGCATATGCTCACATTCGACTTTGCTTTTGACATTCTTCTGCCTTTGCGGTTTTATTATTGCAGATTTAGCTGGCTGACATTGGAAACAGGTCGGCTACAATACAGGGTGGGAATAATTCCTGATACCAGTGTTATCAAAGCCATATGTATACAGATATAGGGTCTTAATTTGAGCCAGTTTGATATAGCAGGAAAAGAATCCTGCAGCAACAGGAAATGTGAATTATTATTTGGATTATAATTAATGGACATTTTTGTAGGGTTTGATAAATTTTTCAATGTAAAAATCAAGTCAACCAGCATCCCCTCTTGCACAAACTTCAGAAAACTTTTAAAACCTCAAATACAAATACATGCATTACAGGAACGTTCTCCTGGAACAGGGTGATCAAATTAAGATCCTACATCTGTCTGTTTATCTGAGAACTGTCACGTTACAATAGAAAATGGAAAACAGAAAGGAGTCCATCTGTTGGGAATAACTCGCACCAGCTTGGGAACACACAGAAAAGACACAAAGCCACTGCACCCCTTATTAAAACACAGAAACCATAGCAACTCTAAAAGCTTAGACACACTGGTAGGATTGTCAAACGTTTGCCCGCCGACAGCACTTATGTCACGAATAAAAGGCAGTAAGTCCAACCGGCCTCACAACCGTAGACCATGTGTAACCACGCCAGCCCAGGACCTCCACATCCGGCTTCTTCACCTGCGGGATCATCTGAGACCAGCCACCCGGACAGCTGATGAAACTGTGGGTTTGCACCACCGAATGATTTCTGCACAAACTGTCAGAAACCGTCTCAGGGAAGCTCATCTGGGTGCTCGTCGTCCTCACCAGGTTCTTGACCTGACTGCAGTTCGGCGTCGTAACCGACTTCAGTGGGCAAATGCTCACCTTCGATGGTCACCGGCACGCTGGAGAAGTGTGCTCTTCACGGATGAATCTCAGTTTCAACTGTACCTTGCAGATGGCAGACGTATGGTGTTGTGTGTGCGAGCTCTTTGTTGATGTCAACGTTGTGAACAGAGTGCCCCATGGTGGCGGTGGGGTTATGGTATGGGCAGGCATAAGCTACGGACAACCAACACAATTGCATTTTATTGATGGCAATTTTAATGCACAGAGATACCGTGACGAGATCCTGAGGCCCATTGTTGTGCCATTCATCTGCCACCATCATCTCATGTTTCAGCATGATAATGCACGCCCCCATGTCTTAAGGATCTGTACACAATTCCTGGAAGCTGAAAATGTCCCAGTTCTTCCATGGAATGCATACTCACCAGACATGTCACCCATTGATCAAGCAACTTCGCACAGCCATTGAAGAGGAGTGTGACAACATTCCACAGGCCACAATCAACAGCCTGATCAACTCTATGCGAAGGAGATGTGTCACGCTGCATGAGGCAAATGGTGGTCACACTAGATACTGACTGGTTTTCTGATCCACACCCCTACAAAAAAAAAAAAAAAGGTATCTGTGACCAACAGATGCATCTTTGTATTCCCAGTCATGTGAAATCCATAGATCACAGGAGGCTGATGAGGGGAGAACAGCTCATAATAATGTCTGCAACGTAGCAAATGGAATGGCATCAAACCATGTTTGATGTATTTGATACCATTCCACTGATTCCGCTCCAGTCATTACCACGAGCCCGTCCTCCCCAATGAAGCTGCCACCAACCTCCTGTGCCCTAAATTAGGGCCTAATGAGGTTTTTTCAATTGACTGATTTCCTTATACAGTATGAACTGTAACTAAGTAAAATCTTTGAAATTGTTGCAAGTTGCCGTTATATTTTTGCTCAGTGTAAATACAGGGAGGCTGCTGTCTTGGGTCAAGTTTGAGTGTGAGGTTTTGTTTTCATAGAGGTGTGTGCAGCGCTGGCAACAACATGAATCTGGACAATATCATTTTAGTTGTTTACAAAGCATATACATTTGAAAATCATTGGCATTGATTGATGGCAAGAACATTTGTAATTTTTCAGTTCTGTGAATTTCTTTCACATTTCTGGTTGTGAGGATTCACAGTCATCACATGAATGACTGATTTGGAGTACAGTTTAGCCCCAAATCCTGGAAAACATTCACCTCAACTTCCAGTTGAGAAAGCAAGGGAGTCCATCTTGTGAGACCTGTGGTCTGGGCCAAAGATAGTTGTCAATGAACTTGTGGACAGTAGAGGCTCACATCCGTATTCACATTATAGGACCTACGTATTAACTGAAAGCTTCATGACCTCTGTAAGAGCCAAGGGTCAAAAGGTCAGTGAGTGTTGGATGTTTTGTCTATTTCACAAAAGATACCTTGTGACAAACATGGAAATGCTTCTTTCATCCATGGCACTGAATCTGTGTGTAGTAAACACACATTTTAGGACACTATCAGAGAGATAGAGAGTTTGCCATTGATTCAGTAAACTACAATGGTGTCCTCTATCTTGGTAGGTTACAGATAACAACAAAGGCTGTTCTGTGTCAAAATCCCTTTTGTGTTCCACAGAATGTGTTCTGACCACACAATGGAGGCTCTCAGGGAGGAAGAAACTGTCATTGAAAAGTGCTGATTATTAGCAAGGCCTAGTATGTAACCTGACAGAAACGCAATCAGAGTGTGAAAGAAGCTTGAGTCATAGCTTTCCTTAGAGGAAAAGCTGACCGCTTGAAATCACTCCATTACTATGCATGACCATGTTTCTTTACAGTGAAGCCATCATAGAAAGGAACTTTTACAGTGTTAGGTCCTTATCACATACCACAATACAGCAACACTCCATCAACACACAAAGACAATGTTATTGAGTGTTACTTAGCGGTGAGTCGAAAGGACTCATAATTCTACATTATGAAGCTGTACTGAACACTATGTACTCTACTGTAGTCTACTTGCACTAAATGGTCAACTTCTTCAAGGAGAGCTATCATCTTGAATATCTGCCTCCAAAGATACCCCCCAGCGCTGATTGTATCACCTCTCAAGTCAGGATTAAGGTGAGTTTACTGAGTCTCCTGTTGTGTTTGCTTCAGGACAATATGGCAGCATAGTGGGGGAGGCTCTCCCCTTTCAGCAGGCATGTGTAACTCCAGCTGTTTTCAGCACTCTCAAGGTTATTGAAATGCATTGCAGACAAACATCTCAGTGGCTTCATTAGTACAGTTGTTAAAGGAGAGTGCACTAGTTTCAACCCCTTTAAAGTGGTTATAAACATAAAAAGCAAAGAAATACAAATACTGAGACTTCATTCCAGACAGTTCATTCAAAGTCCAATAAACACCAATAAAACTAATGGGAATACATTAAAGGTTCTAAAGGATGACAAAAGTATTACTTTCTTGTAGATTATCTTCTGTTTTACACCTACTGTAAAATAATATTTTATGGCAATAACATTAGAATTACAATAGGACCTTAAATATTATTTCTCGGAAATTGTGTAATTCACTGTCAACCAAATATGTATTGTAGCTCCTCAAATGACAGACTGGTCTGATTAATGTGGGCTCGACCTACTTGCGCAACGCCCTCTCTGACTTGAAATAGGAGTGAATCCTCAAACTCCTTCAAACTCCAGGCTGAGGACCGTTGAGTCTTATAAAGGGTCTGGAGCTCTCGGATACAGGACTGGCTATATGGGACGCTACTTGGATGTCACAGTATTTCACTCTCCTAAGGGATCATTTTAATTATTTAAAGGTTTTCTATTTTTAAATTTTTAAGTTACTTTCCGGTCGCGACGTTCTCATTCAGGATAGATGATTCTGTGCAGCTGACTGATGCAGTCCGCTCATCATCATCCTTGGGTATCTAGAACCTTCGGATGTTCTGTTGATCCCGACTTTATTCTTCTTTAGGACACTTTATATTTTATGGAAAGACAGGACAATATCACAAACCGTTACAAAATGGATTTAAATCCAAGCGTAAAATGTAAAATAGTGGTCGTTGGGGATAGTGAATGTGGGAAAACCGCTCTACTAAATGTGTTTGCAAAAGATGCCTTTCCTGACGTGAGTTTATGTGACATTTGTCTATTTTTTTGTCATGATTATTGCGTGTTATCGATCAGCTTGCAACTTTTCTTTCTACGTCTAAACAGCATCGATGTTGATGAATGGATATCACAATTGTTTTTCATCTGTAGGGCTACATTCCCACGGTGTTTGAGAACTACACGGCCAGTTTTGAAATCGATACACAGAGAGTTGAACTCAGTCTGTGGGACACTTCAGGTGAGGACCCTTTGCGCATTATTAGCCTTCTACCGCATATCAGGATTTCATGCTTGTCTTCTGTTGTAGAAAACTCTATAGATGTTTCATGCCTGGTATATATTTTTAGCTACCGCAGGCATGACAGTGACGCAGGCATGAAACATCTAGAAGACAAGCTTGAAATCCTGATATGCAGTATTGGCTACATTATGTGCTTTACAGTAACAGCCAGCCCATTTGAGAGGAAAGGTCTGACGCTGCCTCTCTGGAATGTGGGAAAGGTGTAGATAGGAGTCGGATAACGGTTATGGAAACCTTTTGTACACCACCAGCATTAGCCTACATCTGAAACGACCCTCACACCCTTGAACACATGATAATGTGGGAACTCAAACACTGGTGTTGCCTCTGTATAGAATTGTACATCAGTCTTGTGAAATCACCATCTATTAGGCTACTTACTGACATTCATTTTTGTCCTCTGCACTCTGAGGTAAAGGCAAACCTTGCATTGTTTTGTATGCCTCAGTCTGTAGGAGTAGATTTGTACTTGAGTAATGAGACATTCTTTCAACTGTCTATGAGGAGAGAAAAGCTAAAGGGCGGTAACGAAATTAGAGACACTTATTTTCCCCTGGCCAACATACACACATTCACTCTGAGAGCTTGGCCCGGCCAGTCCTCTTGCATTATTTGTTTTATAAAGCCGCTCCCCCTCACAGCCTTACACACTCAACGGGAATCCCATATAGAGCTCCCCGGGGGATCTAACCATAACACAGCCCCAGGTCTGCACGATCTAACCCAGCCCCAGGTCTGGAAGATCTAACCTTAACCCAGCCCCAGGTCTGGGGGATCTAACCTTAACCCAGCCCCAGGTCTGGAAGATCTAACCCTAACCCAGCCCCAGGTCTGGAAGATCTAACCCAGCCCCAGGTCTGGAAGATCTAACCTTGACCCAGCCCCAGGTCTGGAGGATCTAACCCAGCCTCAGGTCTGGAGGATCTAACCTTAACCCAGCCCCAGGTCTGGAGGATCTAACCCAGCCTCAGGTCTGGAGGATCTAACCTTAACCCAGCCCCAGGTCTGGAGGATCTAACCCTAACCCAGCCCCAGGTCTGGAGGATCTAACCCAGCCTCAGGTCTGGAGGATCTAACCTTAACCCAGCCCCAGGTCTGGAGGATCTAACCCTAACCCAGCCCCAGGTCTAGAGGTAATTACTTCCTAAACTACAGCCTCGGAGTCCTCCAGCCTGGACTGGTTGGGTGATTGGGCTGTTCTGCCTCCCTGGGTCTGTGTACTGCTTTGGGTGGAGAGGGGGAGTAGGGGGGTGAAGGAGTGCTCTGGGCTGGGTGGAGAGGGGTTTGTAGAGAGGGGTGAGGGAGTGTGTTGGGCTGCCTCTCCTCTGCTCTGTGACCTTCAGCTGATTGTGGCGTCCCTTGGGTCTGTCCAGGACATGACTCAGTGATTATACCACAGCTTCAGGAAGAGCTGACACACCAGGACTGACACACCAGTAGTGACAAACCAGGGCTCACCACACCAGGACTGACTGACACACTGGGGAATATTGCATTACACACACACACCAGTCCTCACCACACACACCAGTCCTCACCACACACACCAGTCCTCACCACACACACCAGTCCTCACCACACACACCAGTCCTCACCACACACACCAGTCCTCACCACACACACTAGTCCTCACCACAAACACCAGTCCTCACCACACACACCAGTCCTCACCACACACACCAGTCCTCACCACAACACCAGTCCTCACCACAACACCAGTCCTCACCACACACACCAGTCCTCACCACACACACCAGGGCTGACACACATCTAAGGAGTTCCACTGGACCAGCAATCCCCTCCCTCTCGTCACAACATGATGGTGTGATAACATCGATTTGGTGTAATTGTTTTGATAACCTTGTGGATAGTGTGGCATTTTTTGAGAAATATGATAGTGTTTTTTATTGTTATCACAAACGAGTCTCATGTGGAAATTAGAGTACTGCAAGTACGTATATGGGTATAGATCCTCCAACACTTTGCCACCCTATCTCTCTCTCTACTTTATAATGCACATGTAGTCCACTTAGACTCGTGTGCTAGTTTTCTTAAAAGAATAGACGTCTATTCTAATGATTAATTGAACATCATCCCATATCATGGTGGCCTCGTTATACTGCACATGCCATGTACAGTAGTTTACCTCGCCTAGTGATATCAGTACTGATGCCGGATCTTCATTTGATCACCCTGTTGCAGGAAAACTTCCTGCAATGCAGAACATTTTAAACGTATAGTAAAAAGGCTTCTGAAGATTGTAATTTCCACTTTGACATTTCAGACTTGATTTTCCCTTACGAAAAATGTATCAACCCCTACAAAAATGTCCATTGATTATAATCCACATAATAATTCACGTTTCCTGTTGCTGAGGGATAATTTTTTTCTGCTGTAGAAAACTAGCTCAAGTTAAGATCCTAATCTACCTAATTTCTACCTAATTTCTACCAGCATGTTAAATGTGCAACCAGAGGGAAAAAAAACTCTAGACCACCTTTACTCCACACACAGAGACGCATACAAAGCTCTCCCTCGCCCTCCATTTGGCAAATCTGACCATAACTCTATCCTCCTGATTCCTGCTTATAAGCAAAAACTAAAGCAGGAAGCACCAGTGACTCGGTTAATAAAAAAGTGGTCAGATGACGCAGATGCTAAGCTACAGGACTGTTTTGCTAGCACAGACTGGAACATGTTCCGGGATTCTTCAGACAGCATTGAGGAGTACACCACATCAGTCACTGGCTTCATCAATAAGTGCATCGATGATGTCGTCCCCACAGTGACCGTACGTACATACCCCAACCAGAAGCCATGGATTACAGGAAACATCTGCACTGAGCTAAAGGGTAGAGCTGCCGCTTTCAAGGAACGGGACTCTAACCCGGACGCTTATAAGAAATCCCGCTATGCCCTCCGAACCATCAAACAGGCAAAGAGTCAATACAGGACTAAGATTGAATCGTACTACACTTGCTCTGACGCTCGTCAGATGTGGCAGGGCTTGAAAACTATTACAGACTACAAAGGGAAGCACAGCCGCGAGCTGCCCAGTGACACAAGCCTACCAGACGAGCTAAACCACTTCTATGCTCGCTTCGAGGCAAGCAACACTGAAGCATGCATGAGAGCACCAGCTGTTCCGGATGACTATGTGATCACGCTCTCCGTAGCCGATGTGAGTAAGACTTTTAAGCAGGTCAACATTCACAAGGCCGCAGGGCCAGATGGATTACCAGGACGTGTACTCCGAGCATGTGCTGACCAACTGGCAAGTGTCTTCACTGACATTTTCAACATGTCCCTGACTGAGTCTGTAATACCAACATGTTTCAAGCAGACCACCATAGTCCCCGTGCCCAAGGACTCTAAGATAACCTGCCTAAATGACTACCGACCCATAGCACTGACGTCTGTAGCCATGAAGTGCTTTGAAAGGCTGGTCATGGCTCACATCAACAGCATTATCCCAGAAACCCTAGACCCACTCCAATTTGCATACCGCCCCAACAGATCCACAGATGATGCAATCTCTATTGCACTCCACACTGCCCTTTCCCACCTGGACAAGAGGAACACCTACGTGAGAATGCTATTCATTGACTACAGCTCAGCATTCAACACCATAGTGCCCTCTAAGCTCATCACTAAGCTAAGGATCCTGGGACTAAACACCTCCCTCTGTAACTGGATCCTGGACTTCCTGACGGGCCGCCCCCAGGTGGTAAGGGTAGGTAACAACACATCTGCCACACTGATCCTCAATACGGGGGCCCCTCAGGGGTGCGTGCTCAGTCCCCTCCTGTACTCTCTGTTCACCCATGACTGCATGGCCAGGCACGACTCCAACACCATCATTAAGTTTGCCGACGACACAACAGTGGTAGGCCTGATCACCGACAACGATGAGACAGCCTATAGGGAGGAGGTCAGAGACCTGGCCGTGTGGTGCCAGGACAACAACCTCTCCCTCAACGTGACCAAGACAAAGGAGATGATTGTGGACTACAGGAAAAAAAAGAGGACTGAGCATGCCCCCATTCTCATCGACGGGGCTGTAGTGGAACAGGTTGAGCGCTTCAAGTTCCTTGGTGTCCACATCACCAACGAACTATCATGGTCCAAACACACCAAGACAGTCGTGAAGAGGGCACGACAAAGCCTATTCCCCCTCAGGAGACTGAAAAGATTTGGCATGGGTCCTCAGATCCTCAAAAAATTATACAGCTGCACCATCGAGAGCATCCTGACTGGTTGCATCACCGCCTGGTATGGCAACTGCTTGGCCTCCGACCGCAAGGCACTACAGAGGGTAGTGCGTACGGCCCAGTACATCACTGGGGCCAAGATTCCTGCCATCCAGGACCTCTATACCAGGCGGTGTCAGAGGAAGGCCCTCAAAATTGTCAAAGACTCCAGCCACCCTAGTCATAGACTGTTCTCTCTGCTACCGCACGGCAAGCGGTACCGGAGTGCCAAGTCTAGGTCCAAAAGACTTCTCAACAGCTTCTACCCCCAAGCCATAAGACTCCTGAACAGCTAATCATGGCTACCCGGACTATTTGCACTGCCCCCCCCCCCCCCCCCCCCCCCCACCCCATCCTTTTTACGCTGCTGCTACTCTGTTAATTATTTATGCATAGTCACTTTAACTCTACCCACATGTACATATTACCTCAACTACCTCAACTAGCCGGTGCCCCCGCACATTGACTCTGCAACGGTACCCCCCTGTATATATAGCCTCCCTACTGTTATTTTATTTTACTTCTGCTCTTTTTTTTCTCAACACTTTTTTTGTTGTTGTTTTATTTTTACTTTTTTTGTTAAAAATAAATGCACTGTTGGTTAAGGGCTGTAAGTAAGCATTTCACTGTAATGTCTGCACCTGTTGTATTCGGCGCATGTGACTGATTTGATTTGATTTACATCAGTTCGTGGGTTCACTGAAATATAGGGTTACCCCAGATGGTCTTGTCTAGCTCCCTTCTCATCACATAGAACCTTACTCATTTTGTTGGAGCTTTCTGGAGCAACAAGCATGAAGAATAGCACCTGAGAATAGCTCTGTGACACAGTTAGCTGAAAGGTCATTAGAAATGCATGCGACTCCAGTGTTCTAGTCTATGTATATGGATCAATATGTTTAGTAGAGGAATTCCCCCAGTGGAATGTCAGTGGTCTGACCATGTCATTGGTCAGGGAAGTGGTTATATCCACCCCCATGAGAAATATTAGTTATGTGCTTTGACTTGGATTGGTGTCCTGTATTTCTGTTGCCCCTAACCCACCTCTCTGATTGATGAGCCGTACCTTGAATGAGGAAAGATGCCTCAGATTAGTTTGATGTCATTGTTTTATCATGTACACTTTTCATCACGTCTCACAGTGACAGATACGAAGGCTTGTCATACAAAGGCCCTTCGTTTACTGTACTTCAAGCTCTAAAATGGCAATTTCTTACAGTCTGTCCCCCATTTTTATCAACTCAATCCTACAACACTATTTTAATGTTTCCATGGAAAATCCTTCATACCAGAGTTTTAAACATTCCAAATCCCTCACGTGTTCTGGTCGAGCCGTTTATGATACCTTAAGGCTGGGCTATGAAAATAGGGGCCTCACGGCTGTTTGTTTAACATAAGAAATCTGACTCACCAGACTTGAAAATATTTCCGCATTGTTTACGTCTGCTGGTGTGAATTTGTTCGTGAAGAAACGTGCAGGGAGGGGCATCCATGTCAGACCACAGCATATGCTTTATAGGCACTCTACCGTGTTCAAATATCCAAATGGGCCCAGTGGTACAGAAGTTTACTCCTAAGAATTGAAACTGGGTTTAATTGTGTTTAGGTAAATTAGAGTGGAAATTGAAAAAGACAGATGGTGATGGTATCATTGGTGTTTTGGTCCTTGTTTTGGTCCAGAGTGGGACCATCTGGATTCCATTTGTGAGTCAAAACATTTCTGGTTTGGGTGGGGCCAGGCGTTGTAAAGCCAGCCTCAGAAGTAGTGGATCAGGTTTTGAGTGGTTGCTATGACTGATGTGAAATAGAATACTTTACCCCCGCATTCTTTACATTTACGTCATTTAGCAGACGCTCTTATCCAGAGCGACTTACAGTTAGTGAGTGCATACATTTTTTTTTCATACTGGTCCCCCGTGGTAAACGAACCCACAACTCTGGCGTTGCAAACGCCATGCTCTACCAACTGTGCTACACAGGACTAGAATTCAATGGCACAATTCAGGAACCTAGGTTATTCTACATGGCTTTGTATTCTAAAGGAAAAAGCCATTTGGCATGGAGCCCTTAGAAAATGACACAAATCTCCTTTCTGAGAATGAGAAGCTTTTTCCTACAGTGGAGACTGTTTGAAGTATGTGTGAGATATCGTGGTTTCCCCCCAGACAGTTTGGAATAAAGGCAATATATAACCTGTGTGAGGAGAGGAGCCCCCTCATGTTATAACTCAAAGGCCACCCTACCTTGGGGAACTAGAAAATCCCCACAATTTTTCACAGAGGGACAATTGGGAGAAGGGAGCTTCCGGACATTAGTGTTGGTTTGGTTTCTTTACCTGGGATGCAACCTGACCCAGTCCACCACAGAGCTTCAACAGCCCTAAAGCTTCTCTGCATTCCACACTACACACAATTGTCCCAGGAAAACCTTCAGGACATGATGTTATGTTACAGATTGTTTAGTGTGTACTGTGTACATCACAAGTGTGTATTTCACTGGTAAAATACCTCAGAGAATTTTGTAGTAGTTGGATTCTCTAACTTTGTTTCTACTCCTGTTTGGAATGGAAACCACAGCAGTTCGATCCATCTCTGCAAATAACATTGTCATTGTTTGAATCAACGCATATATGGAAAGGGAAATGTTGGTTAACAGTAAGTTGCAGGAATTTGAGTACCGTGACCCAGTTACCACAGACCCGCTTTTACTTGACTAACAACATGGTGACATGTTTGATTTGCAGGCTCTGCATACTATGACAACGTGCGGCCTCTCTCCTACCCTGATTCTGATGTGGTCCTTATCTGCTTTGACATCAGCAGACCAGAGACCCTGGACAGTGTACTGAAGAAGGTGAGTGTTTTGGGGTGATATAGCGGACTCTTGTCCTGGAAGATAAGCTGCCTTTGCTCCTCTTGAACTGGTGAACAGTCCCCTTGACCCTCTCTAGAAAGGCCTCTATTTGTGTTTCTGGGTCAAGTGTCCTCTGAAAAACCTAATTCTGCTGAAAACTAAGGCTGTACCAATGAGGGGGGACTAGAACTAGGGCTGTACCAATGAACAGAGACTAGAACTAGGGCTGTACCAATGAGAGGGGACTAGAACTAGGGCTGTACCAATGAGAGGGGACTAGAACTAGGGCTGTACCAATGAGAGGGGACTAGATCTAGGACTGTACCAATGAGAGGGGACTAGAACTAGGACTGTACCAATGAGGGGGGACTAGAACTAGAACTGTACCAATGAGGGGGGACTAGAACTAGGGCTGTACCAATGAGAGGGGACTAGAACTAGGACTGTACCAATGAGGGGGGACTAGAACTAGGGCTGTACCAATGAGAGGGGACTAGAACTAGGACTGTACCAATGAGGGGGGACTAGAACTAGGACTGTACCAATGAGGGGGGACTAGAACTAGGGCTGTACCAATGAGAGGGGACTAGAACTAGGGCTGTACCAATAATAATAATAATATAATATGCCATTTAGCAGACGCTTTTATCCAAAGCGACTTACAGTCATGCGTGCATACATTTTTGTGTATGGGTGGTCCCGGGGATCGAACCCACTACCTTGGCGTTACAAGCGCCGTGCTCTACCAGCTGAGCTACAGAGGACCATGAGAGGGGACTAGAACTAGGACTGTACCAATGAGGGGGGACTAGAACTAGGGCTGTACCAATGAGAGGGGACTAGAACTAGGACTGTACCAATGAGGGGGGACTAGAACTAGGACTGTACCAATGAGGGGGGACTAGAACTAGGGCTGTACCAATGAGGGGGGACTAGAACTAGGGCTGTACCAATGAGAGGGGACTAGAACTAGGACTGTACCAATGAGGGGGGACTAGAACTAGGGCTGTACCAATGAGAGGGGACTAGAACTAGGACTGTACCAATGAGGGGGGACTAGAACTAGGGCTGTACCAATGAGAGGGGACTAGAACTAGGGCTGTACCAATAAACGGAGACTAGAACTAGGACTGTACCAATGAGGGGGGACTTGAACTAGGACTGTACCAATGAGGGGGGACTAGAACTAGGACTGTACCAATGAGAGGGGACTAGAACTAGGGCTGTACCAATGAGAGGGGACTAGAACTAGGGCTGTACCAATGAGAGGGGACTAGAACTAGGACTGTACCAATGAGAGGGGACTAGAACTAGGGCTGTACCAATGAGGGGGGACTAAAACTAGGGCTGTACCAATGAGAGGGGACTAGAACTAGGGCTGTACCAATGAGAGGGGACTAGAACTAGGGCTTTACCAATAAACGGAGACTAGAACTAGGACTGTACCAATGAGAGGGGACTAGAACTAGGACTGTACCAATGAGAGGGGACTAGAACAAGGACTGTACCAATGAGATGGGACTAGAACTAGGGCTGTACCAATAAACGGAGACTAGAACTAGGACTGTACCAATGAGAGGGGACTAGAACTAGGGCTGTACCAATGAGGGGGGACTAGAACTAGGGCTGTACCAATGAGAGGGGACTAGAACTAGGGCTGTACCAATAAACTGAGACTAGAACTAGGACTGTACCAATGAGAGGGGACTAGAACTAGGACTGTACCAATGAGAGGGGACTAGAACTAGGACTGTACCAATGAGAGGGGACTAGAACTAGGACTGTACCAATGAGGGGGGACTAGAACTAGGGCTGTACCAATGAGGGGGGACTAGAACTAGGACTGTACCAATGAGAGGGGACTAGAACTAGGACTGTACCAATGAGAGGGGACTAGAACTAGGGCTGTACCAATGAGGGGGGACTTGAACTAGGACTGTACCAATGAGGGGGGACTAGAACTAGGGCTGTACCAATGTGAGGGGACTAGAACTAGGGCTGTACCAATGAGGGGGGACTAGAACTAGGACTGTACCAATGAGGGGGGACTAGAACTAGGACTGTACCAATGAGGGGGGACTAGAACTAGGACTGTACCAATGAGGGGGGACTAGAACTAGGGCTGTACCAATGAGAGGGGACTAGAACTAGGGCTGTACCAATGAGAGGGGACTAGAACTAGGGCTGTACCAATAAACGGAGACTAGAACTAGGGCTGTACCAATGAGAGGGGACTAGAACAAGGGCTGTACCAATGAGGGGGGACTAGAACTAGGACTGTACCAATGAGAGGGGACTAGAACTAGGACTGTACCAATGAGAGGGGACTAGAACTAGGGCTGTACCAATGAGAGGGGACTAGAACTAGGACTGTACCAATGAGGGGGGACTAGAACTAGGACTGTACCAATGAGTGGGGACTAGAACTAGGGCTGTACCAATGAGGGGACTAGAACTAGGCCTGTAACAATGAGGGGACTAGAACTAGGCCTGTACCAATGAGGGGACTAGAACTAGGCCTGTACCAATGCTAGGGGTCCACTAGGGTTGTACCAATGCTAGGGGTCCACTAGGGTTGTACCAATGCTAGGGGTCCACTAGGGCTGTACCAATGAAAGGGGACTAGAACTAGGGCTGTACCAATGAAAGGGGACTAGAACTAGGGTTGTACCAATGAGAGAGGTGACGGGGAGGAATGTGAGAAAAAAAACTAGCGTGAGGCTCAGTAGTAGTCCAACCGGCCTTGTTCACACATGGTCTCCCAGATCCCAGACACGGCTATTGTGGGTCTCAGTGCCCTTTGACTTGGCTCAGTATTGTGCCAGCTGAGAGGAGGGTGGTCCAGTTAGAGATTTTTCCCCTGGAGAGAAAATAATCGAACCAAGCTTTTTCACTCTCGGACCCCACTCCATAGGGCCCCGGTCTCTGACTAATGCTGATCTTTCCCTTTTTCTTTTGTTCCTATAGTGGAAAGGAGAGATTCAGGAATTCTGTCCCAACACCAAGATGCTGCTGGTGGGGTGCAAGTCAGACCTACGCACAGACCTTTTTACCAAATCTCACTCTGGCCATACCCCAGTGTCCTATGATCAGGTGGGTGTCATGTCTTTCTAAATGTCATTCAAGATGATGGACTTAAACATGATCCAGTATTAAAAGCGCTGGGAACAATTGGTAATAGGCAGAGTTCCTGACTGATCTCTCAGTGTTATTCTCTCTCTGTCTCAGGGCTCTAACATGGCCAAGCAGATCAGTGCTCCCTACATCGAGTGTTCATCCCTGCAGTCTGAGAACAGCGTCAGAGACCTCTTCCACGTGGCCACGCTGGCCTGCGTCAACAAGGGCAACAAGAACGTCAAACGCAACAAGTCCTCCAGGAGCACCAAGAGGATTTCACACAGCAGACCTGACCTGCCCCCAGTGGTGTCAGACTTCCAGAAGACCAAAGCTAAGACCTGTGCTATTATGTGACTGGGATGATGTCCATTAGAGAGACTGGAGGACACTGTGAACATGCTAATGAGCATTTGAATTTTGGACAACCATGAAGAGCTTTATGCACTATTAGAGGAACTGTTGGTCTCCACAAAGCGTGCCAACTGAGTGAGGGATGGTGTTGTGATAGTGAAAGCAGCCATACTGTGGTTGTATGTTATACCCTGCTTTTTTCAAGCTAGGGGAAGCATAAAAACAAGGCGTGAATGAACATATCATAAACTGCATATATTCTCCTGGGGTTTACTGAGAATGTATCAAACAGGACTGTCTGTTGACAAGATAGTATGTACTGATGAGAGGAAACTGATCTCACCCAATGGCCACATCTGGGAGGATCCAGACAATCGTCACTAAAGAGCTCTACTTTTATTCTCAGCTTGAACTGGAATCCCATGGTTTAGAACACCGGCAGGGTTGAAGAATCCTGACTATTGAAAAGCTTCCTTTTCTGAAGTGTTAAAGGTACCAGTGTTTTGGGTCTGCTGTTTCAATCATCCTGTGTTCTTCTACGTAAGGAACCAAAATTGTTGTGAGGAGAGTCAGTGAAGGATATGAGAGCAGTTAGATTGTGTAATGTGCTGAGAGGCTATGATGACAACCAATATATACTGTTACCTTTTTTGACATCTGTGTTGTCTGAACAGATTGCTGCATGTCACACGTGAAATGTCACCCTTTACATTTCGTTTTTCTTAACCTTTTGCCCTTTTCTGAATCTGTTCATTACGATGTATTATTCTAAAACAGCGTCAAAATAGTTATTTTCAGAACTGTCAATTTCCCATGTTTAAATGTACTGTAGTCATGTAAATGTGGTAAATATTTGAATATATACTTATACACTTATAAGCCCATCATTAATGCCTCAATGCAGCGTTTATTGACCTATGGGAAGTACATACTTTCATACTGAATTTGCCTATTTAGTTTTATGAGAACTAGCGGTCTCTCTGGTTCACTGGTCTTAATTTGTTTTATATTTAGGGCCCTGGAAGCTCATTCAGTTCCTGTGGACATATATGGACGTTTCAAAGTCTCTGGATCATGGGTTTTCCTGTGAAAAGAGTAACTGCTGTAGATAAGATTTGTCCTTTAGTTAGTGAAGAGAGACATTTACTGTGAGTGGCATCCTGCTCTTTCTGCCTGTCATGCTGTCCTCGTTATCGGAGCTGTGACTTGGCTGAAGTCTTTCACGCTCGCCTCTCCTCTGTTGGCACACTGCAGGAGTTCTGGTCACATGACGACGCACTCTGGGTGAACCTTAACTATCCCTCAGCACAGCTGCCTGCTGTCTGTCCTACCAGCCCCAGCCCTTCTGAATCTTTTAAAAGAATGAAGAGTTGGGTTCCTTCCGTTTGTTCTGCTTTATATTGACATTTGGGTATTTGTTTAAGTTGTGTCGTTTTGCTTGAGAAAACCCTCACCATGCCAAAACAAACACTTAGTTTGTGGACTTTATTTTTAAGGTAGTTACTGACAATGTTATTGCTGTTCTCAATGAGGAATCAGTGAAAACACACAGGCAAGACCTACATGAATGGGAAACAGTTACCTTGATCATGTCAAATGCGACCTAATGTGCTGAAACATGTCAAAACATGGGCCAATTTTGTCCAACAATACGATATAGATGCCTCAATGATACATTAGGATATGACACCCTACTCCTGAAAGCAGGTGACTACAGAAATGTGACATATTAAGAGATCGTGATGGGGATATCCTTAGCGTTGCTATATTTACACTATATATTGCTGTTGTTTGTAGGAACAGCAGTTTACAATAACCAGGACACGAGTACCATAGATGGGACCAGTGATCTGTGTCATTGAATTGTATTGGGTAAATGATTGCTCAGTGTGTAACATGCATCAGTGGTTCCATCACCACAGAATCTCTGCGTTTTGGCAGGATTGGTCCGGTGTTGTGGTGCGTTGTCTAATCAATTACCTAATAGTGCCCCATTCAAGGTGGTATGAAAGGTGACTTAGGGAAATCTGTGCTGCATAATATGGAAGAGATGGCAATTTTTATGCTACAGCAAACCTAATGGCATATACTGGTTCAGCTTCATTGAAATACAAAGGCCCATTTGGCTTTTGTGAGCATACAAATCCATGCCATTGAGCTAATGCTATGGAGATTATGGTGATAACAGAATACGTTTACCCTTGCTTTTGTATTCATTGCAGTTAGATTCAGGGTAATAGAAAGAGATTGTCTCATACCGATCTAAATTGCAAGTTTTATTCCACCACCCTGTTAGGTTTTTCCTCTACTGCAGTGATACTTGTAGTAATATTGTGAAATAGCCTCATTTTAAAAGCTTATCCAAATTAGTTCCATTGATTAATTTATCAGAATTCCAACTCTTTTAACTTGTGCAATACCATAAACTGAAGAACGTCTGGTTGCTTGACTTGGTGCCTACAGTATGTAACTGTTCAGTGTAGTTTCTCAGCAGTGGAGAGATATTAAACTACAAAACAATAGCTGTTAACAGAAAGTTCAACTTCAAATTAGTGCTCATTAATCTTACATATTTTTTCTTATTATAAATGGTAGGCCTACTTTGAAAGGTAATGATATGGAAACTAAATTGCCATCCAGAGGTTTTTGGTGATAAAATATGTTAATTGTTGAGCCTAAACTGCCAGTTTGCAATTTCACACCCCATTGCAAGATTCATTAAAACACTAGACCACCATTCTGGCCTACTGATAAAATGCTTATTAGCCATATTAAAAGAAAAATGAATATATTTATACTCCGTCATTTAATGACATGTACAAATTGATATACAAATTCATCCCACTACAAATATATTGATAATGTGTTACAATGACTAGGGGCTCTATTCAATCTGTATCGTTGAAGCGTACAAGATAGCACGCTAGAAATGTAAAGGTAATTTCCTATTGAGATGATATCTGCAGCGTTTACCATGAACGCAGTCTCCGCTAATGCGTGAACATTACCTTTGAATTTCAATAACACTGAATTTCCACGATACGGATTGAATAGAGCCCTAAATGAAGATACATTGGTCACACTCTGGGTTTGCAATTTGTCAGATAGGGATCCATCCTTCACAAGCTGTGTCGTGTGATAACAACCATATAAACGCATCTGGCTTCACAGGCCACATGCCATGCACTTAGACTTGGTCAGCAGAAGTTTCACACAGCAATGCCACATCTCATAAAGCTTTTACCCATGTCAACAAAATGGAGGAACAGTGGGTCGGACTTAGAGTTCTGCTCAAATTCCATCAGGGGAGATGTGTGAATGGATTCTGACAAAAGAGAGCTTTCCTCTGAATAGGCTTGGCTGAGTGAATGGGGAAATATTCTGTTTGGGCTGAAGAGAAAATAATCCCCCACAGACACGCCCAGATTTCTCAAGACATTACAAAGACTGCTGTGGGGATAGGATATTTACATAAGCCTGAATTCTCAAATGCTAAACAAACAAAAAAATGACATGGAAAAACATTACGTAACAAGATTATGTTTACCTAATATAGTGCAAATATGTCTGGTGCCAGATTTATATTTCATAACCTGCATGGAAGAGTTTGAGGATGTGAAAGATCACAGTGAATTTAAATAAGAAACTTTCCTTCTTGCCTTTTGCAGTCAAGCTCATCTCAGTCAAATTCCTGTTGCCATATACAGTAAATCTGTCAATCAGAGCAGGAGGTACATCATTTCACAGCAACTTCTCAGTAATTGGTAACTATAGCAGCTTTCCCCGGCAACATCCGCCTCGGGCGCTTGACAGCAACCATAATATCCTCTGATTAAAGCAGTAATGTGAGAAAAGCTAATCTCATCTGAGAGGTATTTGGCATGGATACAGCAATATTACCCATCACACATTTCCACTTCACTGTACCTCTCTGGACCTCTTCTCTGCTTAGTCCCCTCCTGTACTCCCTGTTCACCCACGACTGTGGGGCCACGCATGACTCCAAAGCCATCATCAAGTTTGCTGACGACGGGACGGTGGTAGGCCTGATCACCAACGACGATGAGACAGCCTACAGGTAGGAGGTCAGAGACATGGCAGTGTGGTGCCAGGACAACAACCTCTCTCTCCCTCAACGTCAGCAAGACAAAGGAGCTGATCGTGGACTACAGGAAATGGAGGGCTGAGCACGCCCGCATCCAAATCGATGTGGCTGTATTGGAGCGGGTCGAGAGCTTCAAGTTCCTCAGTGATTTTACATGGCACCTCAGATCCTCAAAAAGTTCTACAGCTGCACCATTGAGAGCATCTTGACTGGCTGCATCACCGGTTGGTATGGCAACTGCACCGCCTTCGATCGCAAGGCGCTACAGAGGGTGGTGCGGATTGCCCAGTACATCACTGGGGTCGAGCTGCCTGCCATCCAGGACTTCTATACCAGGTGCTGTCAGAGGAAGGCCCGGAAAATTGTTAAAGACCTAGCCACCCAAGCCATAGACTGTTCACTCTGCTACCGCTCAGAAAGCAGTACCGGAGCGCCAAGTCTGGAACGAAAATGCACCTGAACAGCTTTTACCCCCAAGCCATAACACTGCTGAACAGTTAATCGAATGGCTACCCGGACTATTGCATTGACCCTTTTTTGCACTGTAATTTCATTGAAATTATATGGAAACGTGGAAACGTTGACTCAACCAGTGTGTGCCCAGTGGGTAAGCATTAAACAGTAAAGTATACACCTGTTGTATTCAGTGCACGTGACAAATAAAAGTAGATTTTGATTTGATTTCTTCTTCCCTACTGCCCTGCTTTGGTGAAATCTCCCAGGATCCTCCACTGCGGGGCTAAATTGGTCTGCAGGCTCCTCTTCCTCTGGCTGGGAGTTTAATCAGACTGCACCAGCAGAGTGGCTTAGATCTCCTCCCACTGACACACACACACATACCCACACACACACAGGGATTACACACACGCACACACAAGGATTACACACATGCACATAC